AATGTTAGAAGCAGCTTCTGCACTTTCTTTCTGAGCAGCACTAGCAAGTGAGTCTTCCACCATTTTAAGACTGTTTCTGAAGCTTTCTTCCATAAATGCTCTTGTCTCTTCATTTTCTTGACTTTTTAAGATTAGATTGTAGTATTTCCTCATCATTGTTTGCCTCCATGGAATATATTGCTGTTTAGGATCCTGATTCTTCAACCTATCCCATGCCTCTGTTTTTGCAAACTTAGTCCATCTTTTTGAAACATACTTGTCTGGTATTCTTGTTACTGAATGCAAATGTAGAATTCTGATGCAATGATAACATAACCATCCAGATGCTTCAAAGTTTTTGCAAGTACACCATACAGTTTGGCTCTCTTGTATATAGTTTACTTGATGTGCAGACCATGACTTGTCTTCTAGTGTTACTTGATAAAGTAGGCATTCTTCATTACTGCCTAACATCTGAACAGTTGTTGCCATAGAGTATCCAAACTCCTCTTCAAAATTTCTAAAGAGTGATAAAGTGAAAACCTGTACATCAAAATCATGTAGCTTCATTTAAATTGCCATATATTAGGTGTAATTTATGTATTTGTCAGTTAACTTTTTACCTGTGCAGCATGCTTTAGCATTCCAGATAGAGGCAATGAAGTGAATGCTATTGACTTGCTACAGGTAAACTCATCATATTTCTCTGTGCTTCTCCAACGATTAGTTGTCTTCTTAAATATGGTATAAAATTCTGTCAAAGTAGTTGCTTTACTTGCTCTGAATCCTATGGCATGATTAGTGCTTTCACTCCTTTGTGACGATAAGATCCCTGCTGAAAAGAAATCTCTACAAAGGGCAGGACACCATTTGTCTTTCAACTCATACACTCTTTTGTACCAAGAGTGTTCTGTCAACTCATATTTTTGCAACATTGCTTGCCACTTTGCTTCGAATTCTTGTTCTGTCACACACATCTTTAAGCACTGGTTGAATGCAAATTTGAATTCTTTGTCTTTTTTAAGAGCTCCAAATCTGGTTATGACATTTTGCTCCAAATGCCATATACAAAGTCTATGTCTTGTATTAGGAATCACCTGCATTGAAAATAAAGGGGTCACTTTATGCTGTTAAAAGGGTTACTTTATGCACTAAAAAGGGTAACTTTATGCAGCTAAAAGGGTAACTTTATGTGAAAAAGGAAAACTTTATTGTCATAGCTCAAATCTGTAAGATGTCAATATAAATCTTTTACCTCCAGTATAGCATTTGCCATTGCTTGGTCCTGGTCAGTGAATATTGAAGTTGGTTTTCTATCCTCCATAGCTTTGAAGAAGGTTTGTAGTAACCACACAAATGAATCTGTCGTTTCATCCCCAATAAAAGCACAAGCAAACATACAATTATGCCAGTGGTTATTTATGCCAACAAATGGAGCACATATAAGATTATATCTGTTGGTTCTGTATGTTGTATCAAAGACAAGAACATCTCCATATATCCTATAGTCTTCTAGCATCATTGAATCTCTCCAAAAGATATTGCAAATTCTTCCTTCTTTGTCAAACTTCACTCTAAAAAAGAAGTTTGGATCCTCTGATTGTTCCTGACTTAAAATGTTCACTAAAGTTTGAGAATCTCCAGCCTCAATTTGTTCCATTCTTAACCTTGAGCAGAAATTCAGGTGATCTACAACACTATGGCCTACATTCTGTTCTCCTCCAGCCTCTGTAGCCATGTAATTGTAAGTGTCCATTGTAGTTAAACCTGAAGATTTCATTGTTTTGATTGTTACAACTTTTTCCTCTGTCATTTTTCTTTCAGAACGATGCAAATAATGCCACTGTGGCTTTGTTAGCTCGTGGTTATGCTGAATAACATGAGCCACCACCTCAAACTGTCCTTCTTTATTCACTTTTGCTCTTATGCATGCCTTGCAATTTGATCTTGTAATGGATACTTGTCTTGGCTTTCTTGTTTTTACATTTACATCCTCTTCATCAACCATTTCAACTAACTTTGTTTTCTTCTGACCTGAATGTCTCTTTCCCTCAGCAGAACACACATAGTTTTTCTCAGTTACTATTTTTGTGTGTTGTTTGAATCTAGTTGTATGTTTTCTTATTGAAAACCCCAATATAGCAGCATGTTTTGATACAATTCCAAAATTTCTTCAAAAGTTTCTCTTACCACACCAACAAATGATCCTCTAAGATCTAAACCATAAGCATCAATTGGATTTGTATCTGTTATTTAATACAAACAAATCAGATAATAACCACAGACAACATAAAAAAAAGGGTAACATTCGTTTGAAAATAGGGTAACTTTTACGCATGAAAAAGGTAACATTTAGGCATTGAAAGGGTTACTTTTTGCATACAATCTGAATTTTCAGCATACAATCTGAGTGTAACATTTGAGCATAAATAGGGTAACTTTTATGCATGAAAAAGGTAACATTTAGGCATTCAAAGGGTTACATTTTGCATACAATCTGAATTTTCAGCATACAATCTGAGTGTAACATTTGAGCATAAATAGGGTCACTTTTAAGCATGAAAAGGGTAACATTTAGGCATTCAAAGGGTTACTTTTTGCATGCAATCTAAAAAGTTCTGCATTCAATCTGAGGGTAACATTTAGGCATAAGTATGGTCACGTTTATGCATGAAAAGGGTAACAATTATGTATTTAAAGGGTTACTTTTTGCATACAATCTCAAAAGTTCATAGAAATTACCTTCAGTTGCATCTGATTTGGTTGTTTGTTCTGAATTTGAATCAATTGATTTATCAGGAACCACTTGATTTTCTGCATTATGAATTGCGTCTTCTGCATTCTCAATTGCTTCATTTGCATTATCGATTGCTTCATCTGCATTGTCTGGATTGTTGAATATTGGTACGAATTCATCTCCAAAACAAGTAGTTTCTTCTTCTTCTATAATCGATCGATTTAAATCGATTTCAAATTCAGTCTCAATTTACCTCTGTTTTTGTAGCAATTCGTGAATGAGATTGCTGCAATTTGTTGTATCGAAAGTCGAATTCTCCATTGATGATCGAATTCTGCAATTTGTAAGTTTTCTCACTTTCTTTGTCCTTAATTGATGATCGAATTCTTCTATTTGTGCGTTTTCTCACCTTTTTTCTCCTCGATTGATGATCGATTTCTGCAATTTTTGCGTTTTCTAACCTTTTTTCTCCTCGATTGATGTTCGTTTTCTGTAATTTTTGCGATTTCTCACTTTCTCTCTCCTCAATGGATGATTGATAGCTGCGTTTTCTCACTTTCTCTCTCCTCCATTGTTGTTCTGCGTTTTTTTTATTTTTAGGTATTTGAAATTCTGCGATTTTTTTTAAAAAAAAGCACGTGCGAAAACCCGATGTACAGTAAAAATACTGTACACCGGGTACATGCAAATGAGTTTGTCTTTTTAATTCAATGTGCATGGTCACCGCTTCGTTTATTTCATTTTATCCTAGCTCATGATTTGGAAGTCAAGCCAACAAACACTTTAATGCAAATTGTTAATGGTATTATTTCAATCTTTGTAACTCTTTGCTTCTAATCTAGAAGGAAAATCAAAAACTACTATGTACTTTTAAAGTTATGACAAAAAATACTAAATATTTGTGAACACAAGGAATTTTCAACCAATGATTCTAATAACACGCGTTGGTTTTTTTTATATCACATTAGATATTAGGCAAATTTCACATTTACTATCAGGGAAAGGACCCTAATTCACATTTGCTACCCCTTTAATTTTTTATTTTATTTTACTACCACCTAAATTAGACTTTTTTTAAAAATCACTACCACTTAACGGAATCCGTTACGATTTCCATTAAGTTTATTAAAAAAAATAAAAATAAATTAAAAAAATTAAAAAATAATTAAAATAAATAAAATAAACCACCCTCCCCCTCCCCTGCCACCCCCTGCCCTCCCCCCTGCCGGCGGCCGGCGCCCAGAACTTCAGCCGGCGCCGGCGCGTGCCCACCCCCTCCCTATCCCCCACCCATACGCAGCCAACGCGAACCCCCCTCCCCTTTTCCCGTTCTCGCTGCCCCGACCAACCACCCCGAACCGAAACCAAAACCACCCCCAGAATCCGCCCCCAACCCCGTTCCCTCCACCGAATCGACCCCCCTCCCCTTCCTTTACCGCGTTTTCGGCCTCCCCTAACCCAAAACCACCACCCCAAAACCACGAAAAACGAATTAAAGGGGGTTGATTGGTTTTTTCGTGAGAGTTGGTGGTTGATCGGGTGGCTAGGGTTTGCGATTTAATTTGTGGCTGGCTGGAGAACCTCCGCGCTGATGGGTGAATAGGGTTCGAGCTGGAATCGGGCTGGGAATGGGGTCGTTTTTGATTCGTGGTTGTGTGAAGCTAAGGTGTTCGTTGGAACCGGGCTGGGAAAGGGGTTTGTTCTTGGTGGTTGTGTGAAGGTGAGGAGGTGTTGGTGGCATTTGGGAAGGAGGTGGGCTGCTGGTGGAGTTTCGCGGCTGCCGTGAGATTCTTAGGGCGCCGGCGTTGATGGGAAATGGAGGTTGGATGGTGGCAATGAGGGTGGTTGAAGATGGAGCGGTGGCAGTGAGGTGGTTGGACGGTGATTGGGCTTCACTTACGGAAATAATAACGGCATCCGTCAAATGGTAGTAATATCTAAAATTTTGGGATTTGGGTGGTAGTAAAATAAAATAAAAAATTAAAGGGGTAGCAAATGTGAATTAGGGTCCTTTCCCTGGTAGCAAATGTGAAATTTGCCTAGATATTATCCTCATGATACTAGCATACTAAGTCTTGTTGGTATGGTGGTGACACCATCTACTATGATATAAAATACCAACAAGTGTTATTAGAGTCATTCATGATTCTGATTATTCCTCCAATGAACACTCCATTCGACCTTATAAATTCTTGCACGAGTTTTTTGTTTTTTTAAACACATTTTGTCTAACTTTTACATCCCGTGCATTTACACAGGTACCCTTCCCTCATCCGCTTTGGGAAACGAGAATGACTTCAAATGTGAAATGTCAAATAAGTGAATAAATCATATACTGTTGCTCATATTGCCCCTCATATGAAGATGACTAGTAGATGAATTTTTGAAAATGATTCAATACATAACAGAATAGAATAATGGGGACGATGAAGAAATTAGCAAGAAAGTTCAACAAATCCCTCCGAAATTCAAACGACGATGATCTCTCTCTTCCCACCGTCGACGAAGATCGCCCAATCGATACTCAAGGTCATTCAATTTTAGGGTTTACTTTCCATTTCATTAAATTTCTAAAACTTAATTGCTAAAGTACTTCATGTTATCTTTACTATTTCAGAGCAAGAAGAATTGGTTCGATCCCTTGAAAAATTACACTCCCAACAAAGCAGATTATGGAGGGTAAAGATTCAAACTTTTTATTTTTGGGTGAATTTTTCCTACATTGAATCGTTGATTAATTGAATATTGAATTTGGGGTTGTTTTTTTTGTAGAGTGTATTTGCTGTATTGATGTCGTGTTACATAGCATTTCTTCTGTTCTCCATATTCAATCAGGTTGCTCATCCTTGGGACTTGGTAATTTCTAATATCCCTGCTCTTCTCTTCAGTTACTAGTTGTAGCAGCATGAATGTTTGATTACTTGATCATTTGACCTTATTTTTCGTTGCTAATTTAAAATGTTGGTACCCGAAAACCGAAGGCATTGTAACAGAATCAAACCTGCTTAAACCTTAAATGTGTCTAGTCTGATGGGAAAATACATGTTAGGTTGGTTTTTCATATTGATTGTGTATCGTATTTGGTTTGTACTTAACTAGCTGAACCAATGCTGTTGGCATGTTTAAAAATGTAATGTTAATGTAGTGAAAATATTGGTTGTAGAATTCCAAGGGAATGAGCTTATGTCTTATGAAGTAAAATATACCAGCGACAAAAGATTTTGTAGTTTTAATCTGTAGTTGAGGTAAACTAGGAGTACATTGATTGTTTACTGATGATGACTTGGGTGATGTGTGCAGTACTTATTAGTAAGAGTTATTGTTGATATAGGAAGGAAATGATTTATGGTAATTATGTTATCTTGGAAATATTGACCATATTGTTGTTTGCTTCTATTGTGTATCTGTTTCTGAATTGACATTTACTACGTTGTCTTGAACAGCGCTACCATGCTTACTTCATGGAGGACATTGGTTCACGGCTTATCATACTTTGTGGTATTGTTTCTTGATCTTGCCCATTTCATCTTCCTTGAACATCCGATTTACAGTTCAGATGTCATGATTCATGGTGCCTAAGTAGTCCTCACAGATTGTGAGATTACTTTTGTAATATTATCATGCGTATCTTAAGACTTATTGCGGTTCTAAATTTGTAATTTTACTTTAAATTTTGCACTAGTTTTTGGGGGAGAGAGGTTGTGTGCGTGTGTGTATTCTTGAACTTCTTTTTGTGGCACTTTTCTTTTGTAATCATATGGTGAGTACAGAGACAAGTGCTTAGAAACCTAGTATGTAATCTTTAGCTTTATCCCGTGTAGCTAAAGCATATAGAAGATTATATTGTCTCTTCACTTATTGGTTGACCACCTTTGTCCTAAGGATAGATATGATTTGTGAGACGAGGTTTTGGCTGTCATTTTTTGTTTTCATTTTTTATCTTCCATTCATTTTGTCTTGTTATGCTCAGTGCCAACAGGAAGTGTTGTGAATTAAATCTCTTTTCACTTTGAACTACTGAAAAAAGAGTATATTTAGAAATTGTGTGGAAGTATAAGACTTACCACATGATTTGTTGGCAATAAGCCTATTTCCCTCTGACTGAAAACCCTAGAGGAAAAAGGCTTTGCATTCTATTCTTCCCAATACTAGTTTTTGATAAAATACTGTAATAATATCTGGTGCAAATAGTATTTTTCTGCTCCACTAATTTAACTGCAAACAGATTGGCTAGCAGTTATCGCGTGTACAACAGCCATTCTAGGGCTTATGAAGAGTTCAGAACGCCACAGACAGTGGATTTGGTACGCTGTCTTTGGTGGGATACTACTTGCTGTCTTCTGGCTCTATTATATGCTTAAGTAAGCACCATTATGTCAACTCCTTAACTCAGCATCCATGTTAAAATAACCTATTGTCACTGCAGTCCTATTTTTTGGCACAACACTCTAATAATGTATTTGGGACCAATTAATTCACTGCTCTACTTTCATCTGACAGTTCATTTATGTACTGTAGATTGCCAAAATTTCGGTGGGATGTCATTTGGCTTCCATTTGGTCCTTTAAGGTACATTCTCGAAGAATAGATATGAACCTTTAATCTTCTACATTTCACATTAAAATCTGGCATTTGCTAAATAGTGTTACAATTTTTGTCCTTGCAGTGGAGCTGGAATTTGCCTTTATGTGGACCATCTTCTTCATGAATCGTCTGAAGAAGTTCGAAAGCTTAGAAGCTACATGTATGCTTACAAAGCAAGCTAAATTCCTCTTTATCATGACTTTCTCCTTGATCCCCTGAGTTGTGTTGAACTGATCTGGGGCTCTTAATCAGAAAGATGTTAATTTTGAAGCCTACTTATCGAGAGAAGGCTAGGATTTTTGTGAGGGCAGGGGGTGTAGCTTTTTTTTTTTTTTTTTTTTTTCTTTCTTTTTTTTAAATTGCTCATCTGCATGTAGTTTTGTTGTTTGTTCACTTTGCTATGAGTCAAATGTAACATACAGATTGAAGAGTTGCAAGCTGATTTTTTTTTGCCAGCTTTTCCTCTCTTTCTTTACACTACCACATTGTGCATGGATAGTTATTTCAACAGCATTTTTGCTATCAGCGGCCTGGCTCTGTTCTTTTTTGGTACCATTGGCTTGTTTTTTAATGCAATTGTTCTTGTCTGTTAATTCTCACCTCAATTGCCTTAATTCTTTTTATCAGACTGGTTCTTTCATCCTGTTTTTTGATGGATTCTGAATAGATCTACCTGTATTCTTGGTATAGAAAAACTCGTGAATTGATATCATCCAATGAAGTTTTATAATTATCCCATGTTCTTGTGCCTGCTTGCAAGTTATTCAGGCTTCTCTCCTATCAGATTGGCTCGAGCTTGAATTTAGCTATCAAATGAACGAACCAAGCAGACCTTTACTAACAGAAGTAAGACAGATGTAGGCATAATTCTATAAGCATGTGGGCAACTAAATTTAATTTTTTACTTCTGATTTGAGCAATGTATACATATATCTAACTAGATTAGCACTTAATACTGGACAAACATACTGATCCATGTTCATATTTGCACTACATCGATATAAGGGCATGTTCTCTTCAGATTATTTTCAATTCAGTTCATAATTTCTGTCATAAAATATTCAGTTGAGCAACAAAACAGGCCCTAACTTTGACATTAGATATCACTAGAGGCTCATGCAATCATGCTTGATTAGCACGTACTTTGTCCACTAACCTTAACAAGAAGCTTATAGTGGGATAAAGGTGAGAAAACTTTGCCTTTCGAAAATGTTTGAATATTTTCTTAATTTGACAGTTTATCAGTAGGTTCCAATTACAAAAATCATAATCTCGGTGTTGCAATAACGTATGAAGGATAGAGAATTATTCACCATACTCCATAAAAAGTGGAGTACAAACAATCCCTATAACAGTGCGCAACATTATTACACCATCTTCTTGACTTCATCATAGTAGACATTATAGGCTTATGGCATATGGAAAATGAGATGCCAAGATGGCAAGAATACAGCAGCCAAATCCATCAACGTAGCAACGGCAAGAAGACTCAAAACAAGTCTTCCTCTACAATGCACAAGTCACCAATCCACAACCAAGGTCTTCCTCTTACTAAGAGTCGTGCCTCGAGAGCTTAGAAAAGCAATTGAATTCCAGTTTATCACTGCTAAGCAAGTGCAAAGATAATCAAGTGGCAGAGCACCTACAATTGAATAGTACTCTGAGCAATAAACATCACCTAAATCAGTCAAGATAGAACATAAACAAACATAGAGCAAAATTGCAATGTCACATGTTTCAAATTCGAAGGATAGGTGTTGTTACTAACAAAACAAAATCAAAATTCATATGTAAAGAACATCTCAGTGCAATAAACATCACCAAAGACCTTCTAATATTAAAAATAGCCTTAAACAAAGCAAAACTATCTAGTCCTCTCATGAAAAACCTTTGCTTAATCTTCGTCTTCAATAACCTTAGTACCAAGACCCTTCAAACCCTCAGCAGGAACCTCAGCAACAGTAACCAAAGAGTACAACTCTTCCTTGGCATCCTCATCATCATTTCTCTTGCGAGCAATGCGAACACGGATTCTCCTGGGAACACTTCTGATACCCCTGCTCCAGATTTGTTTGTTAAGCTTGACGTCTACTCTCACGTCCTTGGTTCCCATTGCTTTTGCAGCGAAAGTCCTGATTTCCTTGATGGCATTTGGTGCCTTCTTCTTGAAGGTGCTGTCAGAATAAAAGTCACAACAAAATTAACCACCTAAAACTCTTTGAAGAGAATTGTTTGATTGATAGTAAAACTATAAGATCAATAGTTTTGTTGGACATAGAACACGGCACAGTGACAAGCTAACCGGTTCATTTTCAACTATGATAACTGAATTTATTTTCAATCATGATCGAAGAATGACAAGGTATACAAGATGAGCTAAAGTGTCAAGTTGCACTGCTGATTCACACTTGCATATCAATAAAAAGACAAATCATACAACACAAACCAACTAAGCAACATCACACAAACAACTTCAATTAAACCTATCTGCGAACATGGTTCAACATACAAATGCTAGAAAAAACAAGTATACATATAAAAAGTATAACTAATTAAAAGCATGTTCCAATAGCTCAACAACCATAAAACAGATCAACATTGAACATAATCAAATTGTAAGTTAAATATACACACATTATCATTAAAGCAACTTCTAAATTCAAAAACCTCATTACAAAACTTCCAAAGTTTCATGATTCCAATTGAAGCTATTGAGCTGTGCTTGGGGGTTTAAAAGAACTCAAGAATATATTCATCAATTATTTTCATGAAATTGTTCGTTCAAAACCCTAAAAAGTATTTAACATTAACAACTTAATAAAATCAATGGAGATTACAAATATACAACCATAATCACATAATTAACAGTACAAATACAATAATTTCAAAGTCAGCATTACATCAATCAAAGGAACCCAATCAAACAACCAGCATAATCTAACCAGATCCACCAAACCACTCACAAATTTCAATCATATCAATAATGTCTATAAACCTAAACATTAAAACCCAGAAAAATTAAACAAAAACCCACTTAATTTCCAGCTCAAAAACAACAATTTCTGCAGAAAAATCAAGCATTTCAATGCTAATTATAACAAAACAAACATATAATCACCTAAAGTACAATCATTTCATAACCAAAAAACCCCAAATCAAAAACCCTAATCCAAAAAACTCAGATTAAGAGAGAGAAAGTACCATCCATGAAGACGTTTGTGAAGGTTAATTGTGTACTCCCTTGTCACAACCTCTTCCTTTCTACCTTTAGTAGTCTCAACCATTTTCGCTGTCTCCTTTTTCTTCCTCGAAAAAACCTTACCTTCCTGCAATCATCAAACAAATTTGAGTTCGTTAAGTTGAGATTCGCCATTAAAACTACAGAAATTGACGAAGTCGAGGAGAGAGAAAGAAGAGAGAGAGGAAAAACCTGGGTAATACGACGGCAAATGGAGAGAAGCAGAGAGTGAGGAAGGAAGAAAAGGGTTAAAGTATAAAGAACTGAAAAACCCTAGTTCCTTTTTATGGGCTTCTTAGGCCGGCTTTTAATTGAGGTTTTTATAATTCGGGCCTTTTAATAAAGGGCCTGTTATACATTAGAAGATTTAGAACCATCTAACCGGGTATTGTATTCGGGTCTCAATATCGGGTTATTTGAAATCGGGTTATTCGAATGTTAGATAGTCCTATCAATGAGGTTTTTGCGTAGAGATTAATATGGTTGAGAGTCTTTGTATTATAGGTTATAGATTCAAATTTGTCGTCCTTCATTTATACTCCGTAATTCGTATTGGTAAGGTGAATACTTGTAGTTAGGAACTAGTTTTTCTCACCCACATGATATTTTTTTCAAATGTTGTTTTTTAACTAGTTAATTTAGTGGTTTTTTTTTAAAAAAAATATTTAGAAATAAAATTTAGGTAAGAAAAAAAATTTAGGAAATTCTCGAGGAGAATTCCTAATGCGTTTGAAAAAAAAAATATATGAGTTAGAGAAGAGTCGTTAACTCGTTACAAAGACTAATGTTCGTACGGTCAATAACTAAATGACCAACATTAGCAACCCAATTTACTGTTGTATGCCTCTATTTGCCTCTCGATAAAAGTGTCGAATGCTCCAATTGTCAATTTTTCTCCGGATGTCGTGAATGTCTAATGATATGTTTGATTTGCCACGAAGTTAACCAAGTAACTATAACTGAGTGGATGAATACAGGTTATCACTTTGTGATGTAAATGTTCTTGATCCCTTTCTTGATGGCAAAGAAGAATACATTTGTGAAGTGTTGTAGCTTATGCTATGAAAACCTTGGTACTGCCAAGATTGAAGGTTCATTGGTGGGTGTTAAGGTCTGTTCATATTTACTTATTTTCAGTTCAGTTCAGCTCCAATCAGTTCAGTTCAGTTCAGCTCCAATCAGTTCAGTTCAGTTCAGCTCTTAATTTCCCTATCTCATAAAATATTCATTTCAGCTTAGTTCAGTTCAGTTCAGCTCCAATCAGTTTAGTTCAATTCAGCTCCAATCAGTTCAGTTCAGTAAATATGAACAGACCCTTAGTGTTGTATTTGGTCACTTTGGGTAATCCCATATAGACGGTCAAATCCTCCAAACTTCAAAAGGGTGCCTAGAAGAAATTGCTCAAATGTTGAACAAAATGCTGTTACTTACACAATTTGCTGAAACCTTTTTTTTTTTTTTTTTTTTTTTTTTTTTTTTTTTTTTTTTTTTTTGAAAAAAGAGATGTTTATGGAGACATTATGTTCTACTGGACGAGGAAATTTTCATCTTTGCCAGTGTAATCTTCATCTCTTTAAGCATTCAATAATGCTTGACATTGATATTTAATCTCTTAGCTCATATTCCTTTGTTCTAGCTTGAATCGTACACATAAAAATGTCCGAAGAGATCACAATACCATGGTCTTAAATAGTTTTATATCCCTGTGTTTACAAGAATTATTACTTTCGTATCAACTGGTATATGTATACCGCATAACGTTTAGTACTCTGTTGTACATATTATAGATTAGAAAAGAAACACTTAATCAGTAGAAGAAATCCCAGAAATCACAATTATTCATTATTCAGCAAAATTCATTTAGATCAAAAAAGCATTGCATTTTGCAAGCTAAATTTCTACAGTATCAGTTCATACATTACAGAATATGAAAACTTAAGACACCCTTGTGATTCTGTAAAAAGGCCAAAAACATCATACTGCTCAAGATTACTAAGCAATAATAATTTTATAACTTGGCCTTCTCAAGGGCTGTGAAATCAGATCGATAGCATAATATTATATCATAATTTAGTACAACTTCCAATCTTGGTTGAATTTCTGAAATCTTCCAGTCCACGGGCAAAGAGTTGTTTCAACACATTTTAAATAGCCTGTCTTAATGTATTGACCTGCAGCACCTAATAAAATAGGTAACCAAAGGAAGGATTCTGCAGTTAGTGAAGTCGTGAATCGCTTTATACAGACAAAAGAATTAAAGAAGGGAAAAAAAATTATACCAAGAACTCTAACATTCCTTATGCTTCTTTCTTAGTAATCCTGTAATTCATAAATAAACATCGAAAAAGTGAGGACTTATTCAAGATTAAACAAAGTTGAGGTATGCTTCGGTAACAACTCTAACTGGAATGATTAATCGGAACATTATAAAAACAATAGAGGCTTTAATGCCAAACATTATAAAAACCAAGGGTTTATGAGGCATAGTAGGAATTAAGATAGTACGGATTAGTATAGTAGGGGTTCATGTAGGGATAGTAGGAATTAGATAGTATCGGTTAAGATAGTAGAGATTAGGATAGTAGGGTTAGTATAGGATAGTAGGGGTTCATATAGATATAATAAGGGTTAGATCGTATGGGTTAGGATAATAGGGGTTAGATAGTAGGAGTTGGGATAGGATAATAGGGTTTGATATAGTATGGTATATAATGGGTTAGGATAATATGGGGTTGAACCCATACTATATGAATCCCTACAATCCTATACTAACCCCTACTATCCTTACCCTAATATGATCCCTTAATAATCCCTACTATCCCTACCCAAACCCATTATATAAGAACCCCTACTTTACCAATCCCGACCATCCCTTACACGCCCCTAATATACAAACCCCTACTATCCTTATTCCTTACTGCAACCCCAACTATATCTGTATGAACATAACCCCTACTATCCTAATCCATACTATTCTAAGTAACCCATACTATCCTAACCCCTACTATCCTAATTCCTAACCCATACTATCTCCCTACTATATCTATATGAACCCCTACTATTCTATTAATTAACCCTCCTAACCCATACTATCATTATCCCTACTATCCCTTACATGCCCATAATATCCTAACCCCTGCTACCTAACCGCTACTATATCTATATGAACCCCTTATCCTAACCCTTACATGCCCCTAATATACTTACCCCTCCTACCTTAACCAAACTATCTAACCTATCTACCCTTATTATACTAACCCCTACCATTCTAACCCCCATTATTCTTTTATAACCTCTACTACCCTAACCCTTACTATCCTAACCCTTACTATCTAACTCATACTATATCAATATGAACCCTACTATCCTAACCTTACTACCCTAACCCTACTATCTCAACCCCTACTATCCCTTAATAACCCCTACTACCCTAACCCCTATTATCCTAACCTCTACTACCCTAACCCCTACTACCCTAAATTCTACTGTTTAACCCTTATTATCCCTTAATAAACCCTACTATCCTAACCCCTACTACCATAACCCATACTATCCATAGCCCCTACTACTATAACTCATACTATCCATAATCCCCTCTACCCTAACCCCTACTGTACAATTGTACATGAACCCCTATTATACTAACCCCTACTATGCCTCACAAATCCTTACCAATTTAACCCCTATTATCCCTTAATAACCTCTACTACCAAACCCATATTATACTAACTCCTACTATATGAAGTTATGAACCCCTACCGTCAATGCTACCCTAAAATATTTCCGTGTTCCATAGACTCGCTCTATCTTCCCGTATTTCCTTCCTCTCATTACCACCAAAGCATTAATCAAGCAAATTATATAACCCACCATATAAATGATTTATGGATCTGATTCAACGATATGGATACTAATGCTCTCCTTTTGAAGTAATACAGGGGATAGCAAAATCAAAGATAATCCAGCACATAAATGATAAATTTTTTTGATGAAATGTTATTGCAATAAGGGCCAAGTATATGGCTCCCTTTTAACCTTCACAAGAATATTCAATAACCAAAATTTAGGAAACGAAACAATAGCAATAATACATATGAGAAGAATGCATTTAACACAGAGAAATTAAAAGATGCAAGGGTAAAGATTATATTTTCATTCAAAAATATAGAGGATCTAGCAGTGTGCTGCTCTTGGAGAAGGCTGCCTTGGATTAAACAAGTTCAACGACGCAATGATACAGGACTCTTTATTTCTATAGTAAAAGACATAACCCAACTGTACTTTATACCAATAATGCAGTAACTTGGCAAAAATCTAGCTATACCTATGGATGCAGTCACCAGTTCACCACTCACCAGTAGGAATCATGCAGCGTTATATACGATGTAAATAATGACAAATTCCTTTATTAGTACGTAAACACAAATAAGTAGCATGAATCAAAACATGAAATAACCAGACCTGCTAATGGGACAAAAAAAGTTCATACAAATAAAATGTGACATACATTTCAACAATGTCATACAGATATAAAGTTACCTGAAACAGCAAATTCCCAATGCCGCTGTGATTTCATGAATTACTGATGTTGCAAAGTGCAAATACACACAAGCTGAGCAAAGCCAGAAAACACCATTAGGAAAAACAAGTCTAAAATTGAAATAGGACTAGGAATCATGAAATGTATGTTCACCATACTCCAAACTGAATTGGAACAATTTCTCTATATATATCTCAAAAAATAAACATTTCTCGTTGGTTTTTAAGAAAATCCCAAAATATTGTCCACCAAGGACTGGAGTGGGAGAGAGTTTTTTTTTTTTTAAAACATGTTTTGGCACAGAGTTGAACAACTAATATTAAGCAATTCATAAAGTAAATCCACTAACACTATTAGCAGTTTCTTTGCTTGAAATTAAGAAGGCACATGTCCTCTTTTACTAAATCGCAAATGCTATAAGTAGTGTCAGTAAAGCTTGTAAAACCACTGTCTTTGCACCTCAGTGGTTTTCCTTAGTTATTTGTGCCTCTAAATATGACTGAAAGAAAACGATTCGTGCTTCCAAACTTATGTGAATGGTACGATGGGAATTTTATTCAAGCCTAAAGTAGAATATTAAATTTTTGCTTTCGAAAATCGTTCATCATACCTCAAGAAAAAGTAGAAAACCCAAAAAAATTATTTGAGTATTTCATAGCCAATCAAATTTCCATTTAATTCATCAAAATATTCATTCTACATTCCTACACGTAGAAAAAATTTCCTTTATAATATTGTTAGCTAGTAAGACCATGTTGATGTTAACACTAAAAAGAAATAAAATTCTAAGGTGACACCAATAACAAAGGAGAAAAGAGCTAGCTACAAAAGAGGTCGAATGTTTCATACCAGTAAATGCACAATAACCGAGCAGCACCAAGAGCTCGTCAACTAAAGGAATTCTGTGAAAATGGTTAAAAAAAAAAAAAAAAATTGATAGGCTGAAGTGTTGAATTATTTGTTAACTAATCATATCATAAGAAAAAAAATGGCAAAATCTGAGAGCTAAATATCCTACCCGCCATTTAGTTTAGCAGTCAAAGCATTTGCAATGGCCAGAGGTAGATACAAAAGACACTGAAGCAAAGTAGTTAAGAGTTAGTCAATGAAATGCGAACAGGAATGCAGATTTGGAAAGTAAAACACAAAAAATGCACAGTACATCAATACATACTTTCTGAGGAAAAATAAATAAACCAGCTTAGATATTGTTCTCTTAAGCTAAAATAAGGTATTTTGGTTTGATTTAGTAGGCTCTGGTCTGGTGTGAATCTTTCTAGTTTGGGATCCTGGTCAAGCGTTGACAGTATTTTTACACTAATGTATAAGAAAAAGGACATTATCAAGTGGGATATTGTTATATCTCAATGTGAATATTCTAAATATCTAATTCACGATCTTATTAATACTCAATTAAAGACGTTCAGTGATAAGTAAACAGAAATAAGAAGTGATAAATCAAAATCTTTCTACTCCAGTCTAATCTGATAATGACAAAATTGAGAAATAAGTTTCTGAAATATGGTGAAGAAAACAGGTTCTTAGTATAATTGTAAAAAGACAAGCCAGAGGAGATAACTAGCAAATGCACATGATTCCATGAAATTTCTCAAAATAATACACTATAAGTAGATCATCAACCAGAGTCATACCATAGACATGCTCGTTTTAAGACCCTTAGGCTCATCGCACAAGTGAGACAAAATCATCCTACCCTGCAAAAACATACTATCATGTCAAAGATAGAAAAGTACAATGGTAAAAGCCTGAAGGAGATACTACAAAATATGCATAACAATCTAATAAGAAGATGTAGTTTAGAATTATTAGATGTCAGAAACTCACAACAAATTATTAAAACTTTTACTTACCACAAGGAATCCAAATGCAAGTCCAGTTCCCACAACCACGAGATGGGGATAGTTGCCCATTATATCAGCTGGAGACAAATAATCCCTGCAGTACCATTTCTTTTACTTCATGAGGACAAGGGATCCAAAAGGGCATAAAGCAAGTTATCCAGATAAGGGAAGAGAACTATACCAAAGAAAAACTCCGACCAGGAGTGCCACGAATGGGTAAAGCTGACATAAATATCATCAAGAATGAGTTCCCAGATAGTAACAAGAACAATAAAAAGGAATGCAACAAGAGAAAAGACAATTTTATAATTACCATAGCTAATGCAAGCAGCATATTTCCTTTTTTCACTTTAACTACGCCGTAGACATTCTGTATGCTGCATGGGAAGCATACTTAAGATGAGAACTTTAATGAGTTATATAACATGCTAATAAAGAACTCAATTCAGCCCACTGAAAATGTTGCATTACAATAATCCTTGTGGATGTCGATAATTGTGCACTACCATGAACATAAGGAGATACTAAGGGACAGAACCAGATTGAATGTGTCCATGAAGGCATGAACGCAATAGTTCCCTTTTAGTTTAAACATGATGAAGAACCTCATATATTATCCAAATTCAGCATGCAAGTTATATTAAATTTCAATGCTCTATTTTTAATGCAAAGAGATGATATACACAAATAGGATTGATATACTTAGAAAAGAATACCTACTTAAATGCAACAGTAGGAATCACACCAGAAGCTATCATTAGGTACAACGCAGCTTGGTATGTTGGGATCCCTGAAACACAGAGAAAAATAGGAAGTCAGAATTCAGGGATGCATCCACAGGGGAAAAAATTGATACAGAAGAAAATGCTTTTTAATAAAAATGAATGTTGTAGGAGATAAAATCATTAATAAACTAACTCAGAAATGCACCCATCCATCAACCAAAAAAATAGGAAAAAAGGGAGATATTGATGGTGTGAAAATAAATTATGAATGTCCCTTTCTCCTCCTCCCCCCCTCCTTCTCTCCCACATTACTATTACCAAGACACCTAAGTTGGCATCAAATGGAGAAAAAGGAAGGATATATATATATATATATATATATATATATATATGTATGCATTCAAACATATTTTAGTTATTATCAACGAGACTTTGGAGGATGTACGTTACCATTTAAAAAGGGCACCCAGCTCAAGAAGGGAATTGATAGTCCAAACTGTTGAGCCCACCACTCAGCACCTAATAAGAGCAAAAGTTTAGAGACAATAGATGGAAACCAACTATTATTTAATAATATAATTTCTCTAATGCCAACACCAAGTCACCAACATGGTTTCTGAGGCCCAGGGATTCTTATCTCATAGAAATAAAATGAGTTCTGTGATGTTTGACAAATGTGCAGTGGCTTACCTACAAAAGTTGTGAAGAAGTGGCAGAAATATATCAGCATGAGACCTTCTGTAGGTCCGTTGACTACTGGAAGAATTAAAATATTCGTGAAGTAGCTGAAAATCATAGCCAAAGAAAGGAGCAAGTTAAGTTGCAAAGTGAAGCAGCCCGGTAACTGACCAGCAAAGTAGACAGTATAGCAAGATTAGCAACACCCAGTATAAGTTATCATCCCCATTAAGACAACAACAGCAACGATAATGATGGTGATGAATAAAAATAGCACCACCTAAACCGATAACAACCAAACCTTCTTTAACAATACAAATAAGTAGTTCGTAGATTGTTATGTACATATTAAATCCTAACAAAGCAACACACAAAAGAAGAATGGTAGAAGGGAATACCAAACAGGACGTATCCTACTCAAGGTACAAGAAAACTAGACAGGACACATCAGATTAGGTGTCACAGTTATGTCATTAATCAAACAAAAGTAGACCAAAATAGTCATAGGCTACCGCAACTATCTGAGTCACTTAACTAATAAAAAGTAGCAAAAAACTAAGAGCACATACTTTTCCCAAGTTGCACCATAAAATGGAACAGCTGCTATCACCCAAAACAAGAAAGTTGCCCTTCCACACATAGCTGTACTCCCAAAAGCAAGGGCTTCAAGCTGAGATGAAAATATAGATTTAAAGGTCATCTGCTTTAAAGCATAAAATATAATCGAAAAAGAACACACTTACTGCACAACCGAGAGCATCACATCCTGCAATGCATAATCAGACATGTTCAGGATACATCAAATTAGTTTCAAACACTTGTAGAAAGCAAGTCATGTCCTGCTAACAGGAGTAGGCCAAAAGCAAAGATTGCTCGGAAATCAAGGAAGACATAAGATGTAGGACTACGAAGTTACCATGATCAAAAAGCTCTCCCAATGGGCTTGAAGAATTGGTACGTCTGGCTTGCTTCCCATCCACGGCATCAAAGGTCTGGAGTGTGATAAGAAAATAGTAAGAGAATGTAACAAATCTAAAGGCCAGTGCAATAAACATAACAAGCAAACCATAAATCTTTAATACATTTCTACCATAATAACTGGAAAAATTGTCCAGTGGTTGCTAGACTAATAACAGCCCCTCTATGGGTGAAACACTGAAATTTCAGCAGGGACCAATCACTAAGGAACTTGACAATGCAAACATCGACTAGAAGCTTACTACCCCCATATTACAAATACAACAATGAAACAAAAGCTAGCTATGGATCCAAGTCATCCAACCTTCTGTAAATTCTGGAGAATTAAAAATATATGTATAAAATCCAAACCAAATTCCAGCAAGTAGACAAGTTGGAAGATTGTTTTTTTCACAGAAATCATGGAGAAGTTCGAATTTTATGTAAAAGCAAGGAAGCCATAGTTACAAGCAAAAACACTTACAACTGTATGGATTCTAGAGGCTTATAACCATAGAAATTAGCAGAACAATTTGAGCCAACATTGCACATAGTACTTGAGTTGGTAACAAGAATAACAAACATAATGTTATAAGATTTTAGACTAAAGAGTACTCGAAACTTAGGCATTAAATACACCCATCAGTTAAAATAAGAAGTAACAGCAAAATTAACAAAGAATTCAGAAGAGCCAAGTAATCACGTCATTAGTTGGGAAACAAACCTGGTATAAAAAGAGCAGTAATCCATGCATGAAATGAACCCATCTAGGTGGTGGTGTATCCAGACGAGGTGAATATATCTGAAAATAGCAAGAACAAAACATACTCAGATCCTTAACAAAGCATAGACATTATCAGCCATAGCCAAGTTCAATCATCCCCAAGCATTATATGGCCATACATTTTGACGCTTCATACGAGATCAATCTTTGTGTAACCAAACATATAGCTTATAGATCCACATCTCTTAAATGGACTAGACTTGGTACTATATGATATCAAAGACACACATTGATGCTATTGTAAACTTTACTAGCAAAGTTAATTTACAAATCATAGTAGGAAGATCATAATTGAGTAATATTCTCAAAGCGATGGCAGTCCCAAACTTGGACAAGATAGATCAAAAATCTTAGTGGACCTTTTGCTTATATCATAATCCAGTAACGGCAGACTGCTAGTCTTTTGGTATTGGTTGTCCGTGGCATAAATGATGCCAAATGGCTATAGGCAGTCATATGTGCAAAGATGGTTCAAGAGTGGGATTTCAGTTCTGCAAAAATAAGTTGAACAGAACTAATCCTTAATCTCATTACCATAACAACTCCTACTGTCCTAGGACCAAGATTGCTTTCTCACGTATTGTGCCTCCATGTTTTACAGAGAAATATCAGAACATCCTTCTCTCTAATTTCATCACCAATATCACTTATTATGACCCCAAATTGAGCTATAGTTCAATTTAACACCAAACCAAAGTACCCATAAAAGGGGTGGAAGAGGAGGAGAAGGGAGCCTTGAAAAAGACAACTGAAAAATGATGGTCATAATTTAACAAATTCACAAAATAAAACAAAAAGGAAAGGCTTCAAAATCAAAGACCACTAAGCTATGAGTAATCAGAGCATTTTATAAGTCAGCTAGTGTAACAGAACACCTTTTAAAAGATACTTAATGAAATAGATTACAAAACCATCGAAGTGAAAATCTTCACTTACGTATCCAAGCAATGCAGAAGTTACTAAGAACATGAATCCTGTAAGTGTTATCTGCACCAAAACAATAAGTAGCCTCTTAGACAATTTGCAAAACAACCAATTGATATAGAAAATACTTTAGGGAGTGGAGAGAGATAAAGAGAAAATAAAAATGTAAAATAAGCCAAAGAATGATAGTTACCACATTTGGACTGAATAAGCATCCAGAAACAGCAAATGTGCACATAGAAAGGAAGAAGTTAGCAATATGACATTACAGTTATAAAGCTCAAAGAAAGAGGGATTTTATACAAATATAAGTGGCAACCAAAAACAAAAACAAATAAACTAACATATATAGTAGTGCAAGAGTATTTCCTGCCCTAAAAGTCTAAAACAGGTATCAGAGCATTAACAATAGGGGCAAAAATTTCTTCAAGAAACAATTGAATTCACCTTACCTTTTGTTGCAATTAGTACAAACAAGAGCTTGTACATGATATCTATATTACATGGAGCTAGCCAGATGTGCTCCATACTTTTGAAGAACAATGAAATAAAGCTCAAGACACAAAGACTTCCACTATCAAAGTTACCCAAATTCATAACGGGCTTCTACTAAAGGGCCCAGCCAAAACCCCATACAGCTCAGATTCACAACTTCCAATTCATTAGCCAATGAGGTTTTCACATAATACGACCAATAATGAGACACAAAAAATAGTCCACTCATGCTACTATGAAGAAATATTATTACTTTGAAAACAGCACAATTCCTAGTGCAATAAATATAGACTTCCACTACCTCAAGATATTTTTCAACTTACAAAAGCACGCATCTGAAGGAAAGATGATAGCTTCTTGCGATGGCCCAAACTATCTAATTTGATTATATAATAGGACAGCAAGAGTTGTTGAAAAAGTCTATCTCTCCACTACCTCTGAATCTTATTTCTACATGGATTTAACTACAGAAATAAACAACAGTCATCACATTGAGAAGCACAGTTTCATTTCTTGTGTCTCTCCTTGTAAACAACATAGGGAATCTATTTGAACTTGACAATAAAGTGGAGCAAATATAACATTTGAGGGAAATCCTAATATATAGTTATATACTGTAAGCTCTGTAATCTATCCCCACCACCCCCCCCCCCCGGCGGCCCCCAGCCTAATTCTAAGACATACTAACCAGAGTAGACAAATAATAGAATCCAATTGATAAGCAAAAAAAAAAGAATGAAAAGTGGATACTTACGGCACCCAAAGAGGGAAAAGAAGCACGAAACGCGTCCAAAATGGTTGTAAGATATATTTGGCCACATATGAGTGATCCTCACCGCTATACTTGTGCTTATGTAGCGCTGCAATACCATGATTTCCAATATACCCCATTCTTCCTTCTCTCTCACAATTGTTAGTAAATCAAAGATTCCAGAAACTTCAATTCAGCAGTGGCAACCTACACAAAACAAACTTCATTAATCATCATTTATCAACTGATTCCACATTTCCACACACTTCAAATTGATCAGAAGAAGCCAAACTCTTTTAACTTACACAGGAGATAAGCCAATGAATAAGTAGGAAACAATTTATATTTTCTACAATGAAGGAGTTCATAAAATAGAACAAGTTGTTGCACATTCAAGTAGCAACAAGATTTTGTTAGGGCCCGCTTGGTTCAACAAACTAGAATGAAATGAAAATCAGCCCCACACTACGGAGGTGTTGATTGAGAATTCCTTATGTGTTTGACTCGATACCATTTTCAGAAAGCATTTAGTGTTGAATATTCCAATTCATGTTGTTTTTCACTCATAGAAATGAAATCAAACTTCTAATACTATTGAACTCTCTACACCAGTATTGAGCCAAGACCCATCACAATACCTCATCCTTGAATTAAATAGAAATTACACATCACTAAAATGCAACCGGTACCTACCCAACTCGAATTCGAATCTTTTCCTATGCCTAACCTCAACACCACAAGGGAAGAACATTTCCTATCCACACAACTCCTCAAAACTCCATCACAAAACCCATCATTTAAAACTTTTATAATTCCTCAAATCAAAGGTATTAGTATTACCCACCAAATTAACATGTTATTAGCACTACCACAAAGCAACTAGCCTATCTTCTCCCTCGAAAAAGCCGAAACCAAGAGACAACAAACAAATACTCCTCCATTTTCACAAAACCAACCCATTTACATATTCATTCTTTTCCATTTCCATTTTCAATTAAATTCAACCAATTATATAATCAAAGATATTAACAGTCAAAATTGTCCTATCATAACCGATACTGCCAATACATATCATGTACGAACATTAAACCAAAACCCATATTCAAAATCAAGAAATGAGACAATAAAACAGAAATAATCCAAGTTTTCATAAACAAACAAGTGCAAAAAATCAAAACCAAGATCTCAAAATAGAACAAAGTAACTAACTTTATAAAACTCCCGGCAACTACGGAAGGCAGACAACCAAGCACGAAGCGAAGTGTTCTCCCGGCGGAGATGGGCGGTGATGCGGCGGCGGTTGTCGGAGAGAAAATGGGAGTGAGATGGCGGGAGTGTCGAGAAGGAATAGGAGAGCTGGAGTTGTTTGGCTTTTACAGAAAAGACACGTGCATTTCGATAAATATATGGGCTTCGTAGTTACGCAATTCACTATAATTTACGTTTTTTGGGAATATTTTTTTGGAAACGTGGGTTCAGTTGAGGCAGCTGGCCAACCCCCTTTAACTTTCAACAGAGTGGCTTAGGGTTCATACTTGATTCATTGATTGATACCTGTTAGGTATTGGTCTATCGAATCCGATACGCGGGTTGGGTTTGAGTCGAGTTTAGACAGATTATGCGATTTTGGAATCTAATCATGCTAAATTGTTGTGTGTTCGCGTAAATAGAATTATGGTTCTTTCCGATTTGGTTTGGTTGATTTCGGATTTGATTAGTTTTTTTTTTATATATATTCTAGTTCACTCAATGTACTAATTAAGATGTAAAGGTAAGTTTTGATTGTAGCAATAGTGTGTTATCCCACTCTTTCTAATTGTGCACCTTTCTGTAAGTACAATATTACCTTAATTTAAATAAAGATTCAATTAGTTCATACTTGTGCTTTTTGCCTAGAGTTAGAGGTGACATACGATTGTATTTGGGTTTGTATTCATTAGACAAGCATCTTTGAGTTAGAGATGAGTAGATGACATATGAGTATACGACTGTACTTGTTTTTATAGTATTCATTAGACGAGCATCTTTTATATGTAACAAACCTTTTGCCACACTAAAGGAAAACATCTGCCTAATCCATAAAAAAATTGTGATTAGGCTCCTTAGGGATACAAATGTGCAATACTCGCGTTTACTAGTCTACAATAAAAATAAAAATAAAAAAAACTTCTGCGAGCTAAAACTTAATACACCTAAAAAGAGCAAAAGTAATTTTATCATCGAAACAATTGTTTTTCTTCAAATTTAATAAAAACTAATTTAGAATAGTCTCACCCAAGACTTTTTCCAAAACAATTTATCTGGCAATGAAAGTTTCAACAATTTTAAAGAACAGAGGTAAACTACAACAGATACACAATTAAAGGACATGTTTACCACTAATAATGCTTCAATAACAATTCTTCAATGTTTATCAACAAACTAGAAAGCAAACAAATACAATTACTATTTCATACACTTGAAAAAATAGCAATACTAAATAAGAATCTCAATAAAATAAATAAACAACAAAAGAAATGAAATCATCAATAAGTTTACAGAACCTCAAACCTATACCCTTCTGTGTATTCACATTCTATGGAACACAATCCAAAACAAACCGAAATAATACCAAACACCAACCTCAACAACATCACAAACACCAAAAATATGATACAGCAAATCACTTCAAATTTTACTCACAAATCACCCTTACTAGCATCAGTTAAGATTGTCTTCGAGGAAGGAGATTTTCCAATGATCGCCTTCTTTGCTTTCACGAGTGAGCTCTTTACCTTGGACAATATAGTCTTTGAAGGGGGCTTTTTTGCAGCTATGTCTTCATTTTTCTCTTCATCAGAATCCTTAGTTGCTGTAACTTCCTTACCAACTTGCTCAGTATGTCCATTTTTCTCTGCCTCGACAACAGGAGCTGAGGCCTTCTCTTCTTCTGCTTTCTTCTCCTCTGAAGGTACTGAAGGAGGAGGAATCACCTCAACATCTCTGCTCTTTACAGCTACTTCTTGGTTCTGAGCTGATTCTTCTGGCTTAGTTTCCTCAGTTTTCACTTCTTTTTCTTTGCTTTCGTCTACAGCTTTCACCTGTTCTGAAACTTCTGCAGTCTCTTTCACAGTCTCTTTTGCAGTTTCTTTAGCAGCTTCTTCAGTTTGAGTATTATCAGTGTCCTCCTTCATCATGTCTCCTAGACTAGACCTTTTTGTAACATCACCATTTTCTTCAATTTTCTCAGTCTCAGCAATTTTCTCCTCAGCTTGTTCTTTGGCAATTTCCTTCTCTTCCTCAACATTCTTTTTGTTTTCAACTGCCGGTGTATCACTTGGCTCACTCGCTTTCTCTGCTACTTCAGAAGGTGGCTCTTGCTTAGACTCCTCCACAATCTTAGGGTAGTCTACAGAGGCTAAATCTTGCACATTCACCACTTCCTCCGCTACTTCAGAAGGTGGCTCTTGCTTTGACTCCTCTACGTTCTTAGGGTAATCAACGGAGGCTAAATCTTTTACATTGACAACTTCCTCCGCTACCTCAGAAGGAGGCTCTTGCTTTGACTCCTCTACGTTCTTAGGGTAATCAACGGAGGCTAAATCTTTTACATTGACCACTTCCTCCGCTACCTCAGAAGGAGGCTCTTGCTTTGACTCCTCTACGTTCTTAGGGTAATCAACGGAGGCTAAATCTTTTACATTGACCACTTCCTCCGCTACCTCAGAAGGAGGCTCTTGCTTTGACTCCTCTACGTTCTTAGGGTAATCAACGGAGGCTAAATCTCTTACATTGACCACTTCCTCCGCTACCTCAGAAGGAGGCTCTTGCTTTGACTCCTCTACATTCTTAGGGTAATCAACGGAGGCTAAATCTTTTACATTGACCAATTCCTCCACTACCTCAGAAGGAGGCTCTTGCTTTGACTCCTCTACATTTTTAGGGTAATCAACAGCTGCTAAATCCTTAACATTCACCACTTCCTCTGCTACTTCAGAAGGGGGATCCTGCTTTGACTCCTCGACATTCTTAGGGTAATCAACAGAGGCTAAATCATTCACATTTACCACTTCCTCCGCTACTTCAGAAGGAGGCTCCTGCTTTGACTCCTCGACATTCTTAGGGTAGTCTACGGAGGCTAAATCTTTCACATTCACCACTTCCTCCTGGACAAGTTGATCTGCTTCTACTGTTTTCTCACCACCCTCTTCAACAATGGATTCAACCACTTCACCTTTCAAGTTTTCTTCTTCCTTACACTCCTCTACTTTGACAGGCTCAGCAACAGGAACTGCTTCTAAACTTCTCTCGGTCACCTTCTCAATCACTGCTTCCTGAGGTTCTTCTACAGGCTTGTCTTCTGACATTACCTTTGTCTCACCAACACCCTCAACAGTTGATTTCACATCATCAATGTCTCTGGTTTCAACTGAAACATCCTTCGGCTTCTCCTCTTCAGCAGCAACTTCCTTCACTTCAGCCTCCTCTTGTTTTGGCTCTTTCACCACTTCTTCAGTACTAACCTCTTGATTCTTTTTTTCAACAGGCTCTTCACTTTTAGGGGCTTCAGATTCTTGCTTTTTCGCCTCAACAACTTCTTCGACTTTAGGTTGCTCCTCAGTTTGTGCTTCAACAGGCACTTCAATTTTAGGAGCTTCAGCCTCTACTTCTTTCTCTTCAACCACTTTTTCCACTTTCTCTTCATTTTTTTCCTCAACAGCCTCCACTTTGGATTGTTCCCCAGCTTGTGTTTCTACAGGAGCTTCACTCTTAGGCTCATTTTCGGAACTTTCCTGCTTCACTTCTGCAACAGTTTCTGGTTCTGACACCGGTGCATCAGGTGTACTCATCTTATCCTCAGCAGCAACCACCTCTTTGTTCATCTCCGGTGCCTCGGATTTTACTTCTTCTGTTTTAGGCATGTCTGTTTGCTCAGATGATATGATCACTTCTGGTAAATTCTCCACCACTTTATCTACCACTTGTGATTCCTTTTTATCTGCTTCCTGATGCAGTAAATAAAAAAGGTAATATTTGTGAGCAAAAAAGTTACATATATGATATAAGAAGGATTAGGATACAAGAAAAGAATACAGTATACACAACCAATATATTAAAGCAAAGGAAAAAGGGAAGCAAAGCTAGATAAAACAGGAAAAGGAAGATGAATAAAGAACAGAAAGTAGAGCATACAATGTTTTGCTTAGTGAATGTTTCATAGGAATTCTATGTAAGCTCAATCTCTTTATATTACCGAAAGTATCCGTGTCAGATCCTAGACACTTCATCCTACATACAGACACTTTACACTTGATTTACTAAAAAGCCATTTATTTTTTTATTTTTTTCATGTAGTAGTCGAGTCTAACACTTGGATACGTACTTAACTCAAAGTCGAAAAACCTGTCAAATTACTCTTGTACTTTGAGATTGGAACGACATACATAGTCATAAAAATCATGATGCTCTAAAAACTTCATGAATAACCTTCGATCAATTGATCCACAAGTTCACATCCTTAATTATTTGATCATGACATTCCATCACAATTATCAAATATCAATAGTAAGTCACAAATTTCTCTAATTCTGCTACTTTATTTTGTCACGATTATATCATATACTAGTATGCAATATTTCACTGTCCTACCAAACTTTTAATTATCTATCATCATTAAGTACTTCATGATTAATACTAGATTACTAGTATTATACGAAAATCAATAAACTAAGATCACAAAACACAACAGGAATTAAAAAGAAAAGGAAAACATTTTAGTAGAAAATTAAGTATATGATAATATATTTAGCAAAAAAATTGCATACACCATCAAAAAATTATTTCACTTCATTTCACCAAATATAAACAGAGCATACTTTTCTTAAATACGGAGTATAACAAAACGATCCACAATTTAAAGCAAACCCAGAAATTATATCAAAGAATTAAATGAATTTCTCCAAACCAACCATAAATTTTCACAAACCCATCAAAAAAAATTGCCATAAAAATTAAAAAAGATCGGATTTTTTTTATACCTCTTGCAATTGCGGCTCAGAAACAGGAACTTGAGTAGCCATAAATTTTAATTTTTATGAGAAAAATAAAAGGAAAAGAAGAAGAAAAAAAAAGGGTGCAATTAATTTTGATGATTAAGGTTGTGTTTGGTAAGTATTCTAAGTAATCAAAATCAAGAAAGGAAACTTTTGATATCTTACAGTAATTACTATATATAGAAAGAAAAATTAAGTGGGTTTGGCAGAAAAATGAAATTAAAATAGAAAAAAGAATAATAATCAAAGAAGAAGAAGAAGAAGAAGAAGAAGAAGAAGAAGAAGTGTAGCAGCAGCTAAGTAAGTAAGAACAGCAAAGTAGCACTGGAAAGTGGACTGTTTTGTGGGTTTTGACAGGTAATCACATGGAATGCTAGCTCACTTTCATGGACTATAACTAATTTAATTGGATTCTTATTTCTAAGTTTTTTTTAAAGAAATTTCCCTCTATTTCTAATTTTAAGGTCCCCCTTCCAACCCACCATAATTCAATTATTTATTTCATTTGCATTAGTGAGTGACCTCATGTAGTCAACTAGTCATGTAATAATTACTAGTATTATAAGAATGTGATTTTTGGGACTATTGGGAGTCAAGTGGTTCTTAAATTGGTTGTGATTGATCGAGGTTCGGATTCCGATAATTAAGCTCTACTGGTTTATTTTATTGTATAATCGGTTTTATAATAGAAAATTTGAAATTTAGCTCAAATGAATTATTGTAGTTGTTGTTGTTGATTGGTTGAGTGTTGTATAGGATTCCCGAGGGGTTATCATAAAAATAGGCATAGTCGATTACTGTTAACAATATATTTTAGGGCGAAAATGTTTGGATGTCAACTAACTAGTTTAACTAGTTAAAGTTTTAGGAGCGGTATCAAAAAGAAAACTTCGGATCAAAATCTCATGAATGAACTATGTATATCATTTTGTTATTGTCTTAGTGTATCGTACAAAGTGTGTAGAGAATAAATATATGAGAGATGAATACTGTGTAAGTTTGTATGTATATTGAAGAAATTAATGTTGGGGACAAATAAGCTAGGGATACATCATACAAGTATCTATTCCTTATGTTACGAAATAGGTATTATGTATGTATTATTGTATTGGGCAACTAACCTCAAAACCAAACACTAAATCAAGTATTATAAAACACACCCTTAATTTAGAAAGAAAATTCTTATATCAATCCAATTTGTTTTAAAATGAGAGAGATTTATATATATAATTAAAATATTAGTTTAAAATTATTAGGTTTCTTATCAACTTAATTGGTACTCCGTATATCTTAAACTGTACTTTCTAAGTGATAATACATTAATGTAATAAGATTATAACACAAAAGTCATTTCTTGCTCAAAAACACATGAAAGTCATGAAATCAAATTGTACACTTCCTTCTAAAAAAAATTTTGTAGCTCAAAAGGTGATTTGATTTTTGGGACATCTATAAGCCCCCAAAATCAATCAATATGTGTAGGTCAAGAAGATCAAAAAAATATTAATGTGATAAATCAAAGTTGAGGTTGTTAAGATATTGTTTTCAACATCTTTCCCTTAGACAAAATCTTGTACTTGTTGGAATTTAATTAATTGTAAGAACTATAATATGATTAATGACCCCATCAATACATGTTAATTTCATTAAGTTAGACAAAAAACTTGTATGAGTCGAACTTACAATACGTTATTAGATTGTTAGAGATTTGAGTACGTTATTAGATTGTTAGAGATTTGAGTGTTGGTTCATTTTTTATGTAAAATTAAGTAACTTATTAATAATGATCCCGAATTCTAGTTTGTTTATGATTTATATAACAGATGAAGGACGAAGAAAATAATAAAACTAATCTTGTTTGGAGAAAGCAAAACAAGATGACAAAAGGTTGAAGGAGACCAAAGTGCCTTTAATTTTGGCTTTCAGGTTATAGCTAATTGAGTATATCCACTATCCTAAATTTTTATATGACAATTGCTCACTAAAAAAAATTGGATAATAATGTTGGTAGATGTAGTACAATATTTCATTGGCCATAGCCAGATCAGATGTGACATAATATTTTTTTTTAAAATTTAATTTTCATTAATTTATTACAATTATTATTATTATTATTATCTCAAAAACAAAAGTCATACAGCCTACAATAAGTTAGTGGGAAGTCGAGATATTATTATTATTATTATTATTATTATTATTATTATTATTATTATTATTATTATTATTATTATTATTATTATTACAATATGTTTTGTGTACATCTGATCACCCTCTATGATCGTTTGTAAAAGAACAAAGTAATCCCGATAAAACTGATCGAGTAACCCCTTGTATTATTGACCGAGTAACCTCTACAACACTGACAAAGTAATTCCTGTAACACTCACAAAGTAACTTCTATAAATCTATAATGTAACATTGAAGTCACTTATAATGGTTGATTACACATTGTGACCAAATACATATAAGAAGTGCCTTTAATTTTGTGTAATTAGTGTGTTTTTGTCATGGTTTTCTAAATTTAAACAATTTTCAAGAGTAAATTAAATGCTTATATGTAGCCCTTAAGGCTATGTATAGCATTTTCCAAAAAAAAAAAATACATATAAGAATTTGTGTATTATTACTACTTATTATTTGATAAAGGATATAAATGTTTGAATTGATTTTAAAAGCTAAAAACCAAAAACTTAACGGCCTTAATAATATTATGGGGCCAATGATTGCGCATTTTGCCAAGCTTGAACAGCTCATCCTCCACGCTCACTTTAGAATTATGTGACTGCCATTTCCCATTTGTGGTTTTCTTTACCCATCTTTTTATTATTTTGGGCCTTTTTGCCTCTCAATCAATGCTGTCCTTTTTTTTTTTCCTATGAATAAAACTTTAGAGATATGCTTTTTTATTTTCAACAATGTATTAAAAGTACATGTTTTTCCTAATTTTTAAGGGCAATGATTCGAATTATAAGGTGTTTAACAAGTTATTTAATTGAAGGACGTTTATAAGGAATACTAAAAGAGATGAACTTCCCCGTCTAGGAATAAAAACTTTTAATTGTACAACGTAAGTTATAAAAACACTTAAAACGTTAGTTTGTAAATGATTTCTGTTTAAATTCTTAACTTCATATCAATAGACTATGAGGAGAGAGAAATATGAAAAAATCTATTTTCTTCGATTTGGGGGAGGGGATCGGAAAACGATAATGATGTGGAGAAGTTTTGATCTTGAGTGAATTTCGATTAGTTAATATGTAATTGTGTTATATTAATTATATACGTAAATCTTTTAATGCATCACATTTCATGTGGAGTAATTTGCAAGTATTTTTTTTTTTAGAAGTCTATCAATTCATTTTATTTGTGTTACTATTGGTTTTTCAATGTTGCCTCTTTTTGTTGTTGATCTATTATCAATTATGTGATCTTATGCTTTTGATATAATGATTGCAAATTTTACCATACAACAAAAAAAAAATAATAATAATAATAAGTACTCCATATGAGACATGTCCCTTACTCCCTTTATATGATTTTGATCATTTCTAAACCCTAAATTTATTACATAGGGGCTGGAATGGACAAGAAGGATTTCATAGTTATTTAGAAGGATTAAAAATATTATTAATGAAATAAGAAATTATATTAAATTTGGTGATCATACCTTTTGTGATTCCTCTTGTATTGTTACTTTTGTTCATTAATAGCCTCTCTATTGTTTCAAATTCATTGTCCCCCCTCTTGGCTTTATGAGAACGAGGAAGATGAAGAGGAAGAGGAAGGGAGAGAGGAAAAGAAAATTTAGGAAAGTTGATAGAGAAAAACGAGAGCATGTAAAAAATAAAAGTTAAAATAAGGGAGAAGTTGCTGTAAAAATGGGACAAGTCACAAGTGTCATATTCCAAATTGTATAAAATTTTATTTGTTTTAAAATAGCAGTATATATTTCGTACTTGTTTAAGTAATTGATTCTGGGCTAAACACAAAGAAATTTATATTATTGTACCCGTTTTCATTTGACCATAAGCATAACATTTTCGAGATCACATAATATAATAATTGGTCTAAATTATGACAAAGACGCATGTAAAATCTTTTATGTGAAGTTTTTGAGTAAGGTTTCTTTTTCAAACCTCGTTTTCTTTTTTCTAAATTGAAACTAGAAACTAAATAGCATAGGAGAGAAGATAATGATGCATTAATGTTTTTAGTTGAGAATGAGTAGAAGAAATTGTGACGGCATAGAAAGTGGAGACCAATGCAAAACTGGCGATTGTGACAAATGAAGAATGATGGTTACATTGTTTTTTCTTCATTCCCTTCTTTAATTTTTTCTTAGCAAGTGTACGAATATATGTCTATATATGTATGTATATTATTTTGTCATCACTACGAAATTCATATATGATTACGTACTAAATTAGTGTATCTTAACCGACTTTGCCAACCTATGTTCTTTATGGACGTCTCATTTATCAATCAATTAATTAATTAATCCTATAAATGTGATCAGGTACATGAATCAAAAGTTGTTATTTCGGATTGTCATAACATGTTACATATTTAACAAATATTACATGACAAAATAAAAATCTTCGAAACTATAAGTTTTTTACTCTGTGTATTGTTATTCTAATACTCCTTTCGTCCTTTAATACAATGCATCTTTCTCTTTATTATGTGAGGAATAAATGCTCAAAAGAGGCATTGTATTAAGGGACGGAGGGAGTACTATAATAATTAATTAACCACTTAACTTTGCTTAAATTGCTAATTGTGTACTCCGTATGAGATTGAAGCTTTAGCTTGAAGTATATCCTTTCATTTATACAAAAGTGGTACTATTAAATGGCAAATTATAAGATGCACCATGGTGCATATAGTTCTATGTGAACCACCAATTAAAATATAATCTCTATTCTCTTTCCTCCTTTACTTTCCTAATTTCTGATTTTTTGTTGCTCTCTTTTATTTTCTCTCTCCTTTATTTTCTCCCTCCTCTATTTTTCTCTCTATTTTATTTTTCTTTCTTTTAAATTCGTTCATCATCCTTTTAATTGAATTCCTTCATATTGTTAATCACCATAGAGTGAATTTCTTCATTACAATAAATTAAATTCAAATTTTGTTTTCTTCAACCTTCGATTTGAAGCTTCGTTAATGGAGTTTTACAATGAAGTAGTGAAGCTAAAAATGGCGTCATCGTCAAATAGAAGGTGGTTAAGTCGATGGTGTGATTATTTTTCACGAGATTTCATCATCGAAATCACCATGGCTAGGTTTGAGTTTCGAAATATGTAGCTTTCATATTCTTTTGATTTTTTTAGCGATAATTGTGCATTTTGTTATGAACAGTTCTGCATTTGATTATATTTTAGTATCTTGAACATTTTAAGTTAAAAATTTAAACGTATGATACGTTTTCTGTAAATACATAACATGTATTTTTGGAATTTCGAACATCTTTATTA